CGATGTGGAACCTCAGCCAGTACATGAAGAGCGGCTGCAGGGCAGCGATGGCCATGGTGAGGTACATGCGCAGCTGGTTCTTGGCCCCCCGCACCAGCACGCCCTCGGCCGCCGCCTCCGACAGGATCTTCAGCCGCAGCGTCCGGATCTGGGGGGAAGAGGGAAGAGTGTTGGGCCCGGGCCGGGCGGCAGCTGCCCACAACCACCGGGCGCCTCCTGCTGCTGTTTCCCCACCCGCCAGGGTCCTGGCACCAGGTCCGCTCCTGGCTCAGTGCAGGGCGGGCGGGGGAGATGCTGCTGCCCCACGGCCCAGCCCCACAGCCCCCGCCCTTACCATGAAGACGAAGATGGCGAGGCAGCACCAGCTGAGCAGCAGGTATTAGCCGGTCTTGCCGAAGAGCAGGCCCGACACGACGCCAACAATCATCCTGCCATGGGAGAGGCAGGAGGTGAGTTGGGGGGAGGGGAGGGGGGGGGCAGCAAGCCCTGCCCGCAGACAGCACACGCCCTCCTGGCTCTCCATTGCCCATGCTGGTCACTTATGGGACATGGGACACTCCCCTACATTTGCCCCTGGCACTAATCCCATTGGACAGGGATCCGGAGCCACGCACGTCACATCCCCTTAACTCTGCCCATGGCCCGGCCTGACTGCGCCAGAGCATGCTCCAGAGAACCCCCCCGCCTCCGCGCACTGGCGGGAGCGGCCCCCGCTCAAGCCCGGCGGCTGCAGCTGCAGGCTGGTTGGCTGGGGGAAGGGGGGGCACTCACCCGACGTACTTGTACCCCGAGAAGGCGACGAGGTCGATGGTGGTGAGGTCTGTGTTCACAGTCACCAGGTAGAGGCTGAGCAGGACGGCCAGCACCTCCACAATCAGCCAGGCCAGGGCCGAGCTAGCCTGCAAGCCCAGCAGGTCGGGAGAAAACCTACAGCCGCACAGCCGGGAGGAGGGTCAGAGGGCCCCAGCAGGACCTCCAGTCCCTCCCACCCAGCCCCCAGGGCAGCCCATGGACCAGGAACAGGGCCAGGCTCCCCCCCCAGCCCCCTTCCCTCTGGC